AGAGAGAGAGGGAGACACAGAATCTGAAACGGGCTCCAGGCTCTGAGCTGTCAGCACAGAGCCCGACGCGGGGCTCGAACTCACAGACCGTGAGTTCGTGACCTGAGCCGCAGTCGGACGCTTAACCGACTGAGCCACCCAGGCGCCCCTCTCCCTCTTTATTAAGAACATTGCTTCACCTTGATTTCCCGCCACTTGGTAAACTTGCCTGTGTGACTGACTTCTTCCCTCCCCCCTCCCTTTAGGGAACAAGGGAGCCGTGGGGGTGTCATTTATGTTCAACGGAACCTCCTTGGGCTTTGTTAACAGCCATTTGACTTCTGGAAGCGAAAAGAAACTCAGGTAATGGAGCTCCTTTCCCGGGAGGCCCAGGCAGACCGCACATCCCTAAACACCAGAACTACTGTTCAGCCCTCGGCTTTTCCCGTAACTGTGGCACAGGAGTGACCTCTCGTGTGGGTGAATTTTGTCGGGAGGATGGAACACACATTTCCTTATGTCATTCATCTGATAGATGCCTAAATCCCGCTCCGTTTCTAAAGGGAAAAACCTCATCCGGGCATCCTTACAGATCAAAGCCCATGTGGCTCATTTGGCCCAGGCACAAAGACAGCTATTTAGAATAATCATGATTCCAATTCCCTGCTAAATGGATGCTCCGGGAGGCCCCCTGCCCTGTGTTCCCATTTCTGCCTGAAAGGCCCTTTGCATCCTGGCTGTGCCCCACCTGCACGTGCAGGTGGTTCACTGCAGCAGGGGCCGGAGAGTTAAGGCTCAGTCCCCCCAAGCTCCCTCTGATTTCCTGCTACCGTGGTGACGTAAGGGACCAACGGCCTCATGCTACATGGCTGCTTTTTCACTTAAATAGGCGAAACCAAAACTATATGAACATTCTCCGGTTTCTGGCTCTGGGAGACAAAAAACTGAGTCCTTTTAACATCACTCACCGCTTTACACACCTCTTCTGGCTTGGTGATCTGAACTACCGTGTGGACCTTCCCACCTGGGTAAGGAGCTGCCCACCTGGGGAAAGAACTGTCCACCTGGGGAAGGGGCCACCCGCCTGGGAAGGAGCTGCCCACCTGGGGCTGGGGCTGGGGCTGGGGCTTCATGGGACAGAGGCTCCCTTGAGTGAGCTGAGGGCATGGGGCCATGGAGGCACAGACTGAGCTGGGCCAAGGCAACTACTCCCCTTCTGGGACTCAACACTCTTCTGCTGTTCTGTCATGGAACCCCTGCCTTTCTTTACACTTTACCTCTGCTCACACTTAGTTCCCACACAACCGCCCCAGCCGTTCTGGTCCTCCAGTGGCTCGGCCCAGATCTCCAGGAACTGTTAAGGTCTGAGGAGACCAGCACAATTTTCTGCCTAGATGTTGGTCACTGGCCAGCTAAGGAAGAAGTTATTTACGTTGGATGCCCAGGCACGGTCCACTGAGCAGTGGCCAGAAGGGCCACCTAACACAGACATGCCTCGCTCGCTCAGGCAGTGCAAAGTGTTCTCTGGGAAGGTGGGGGGTGCAGGCCTGGGCGCAGAGCTGTGCAGTCTGCCCAGAGACCTTGGTTACAGCTTGAACGTCCCTGCCAGGGATGGAGAACCTTCATACCACATCCCGTGAGGGCAGAAACAGAGACGCAAGAACCCTGGGGCACCGACAGGCTAAGAAATAGCCTGGAGTCAGTTTCTGACAAGTGGGAGTTGGGATTGAGCCCAGACCTTCTCACTCCTCTTCCCCCACGTTTCCCCAAGCATCTCGCCTCTCCCTCTTGCTGCCCCAGAGGCTCGGCAGAGACTGAGGAGGAACTGAGGGTCTGTTTATGCACCTTACGTCCCCACCACTCCCTCCCTCGTGGCAAATGGGAGAGGACTCGGAAGGAACCCCACAAATTTCCTCACCGGGAGGTCTGCCAAGGGCATTCACCAGAGCAGAGGTAACAGTCTGGGGAGAAAGGACGGCTGGATTCCATCCCACTGATGCCGCGCTGACTCTTGGGAGTCCAGGCCCGGATCAGGGAGTCCTGATGCCCACAGATTCGGCCTGGGGTTTCAACTCCTTCCACGGCCTCACAACAAGCTGCCTCGGTTCCCATAGACAGCAAGGGAAACATACCTACCCGCTAATGAAGTGTTAACAAAAAGAATACTAAAAGTCCGTGTGAAAAAGTAAAATGTCCCTCTACAAATTTGGAACGGCCAAAGCTTGTATTATCAGGTTGACAGTTAACTACTTTTGTGGAGTTTTCCTTATAAACAGTTGAGTGCCAGGGGCACCTGGGTGGCTCAGTCGGTTAAGTGTCTGACTCTTGATTTCAACTCAGATCGTGATCTCGCGGTTCGTGAGCTTGAGCCCCACATCGGGCTCTGTGCTGATAGCACGGAGCCTGCTTGGGATTCTCTCTCCCTCTCTGTCTCCCCCTCTGTCTCCCTCTCTGTCTGCCCCTCCCCCACTCGTGCTTTTGCGTGCGCACGCGCTCGCTCTCTCTCTCTCTCTGTCTCTCTCAAAATAAATAAACGTTTAAAAAAAGCAAAAAACAGTTGAGTGCTAAGGAAAGCCAACCGGGCTGCCACAGGACCAGGGTCTGGTGCAGAGTCCGCGGCTCCAGGCAGGTGGGTGGTGATGGGCCTCCTCCTGTTTGGGACGGGGGGGCGTCTCACCAGTGGCCCGGCTGTGTCCTTGCTCCAGGAGGCAGAAACCATTGTCCAGAAGATCAAGCAGCAGCAGTACGCAGACCTCCTGTCCCACGACCAGCTGCTGATGGAGAGGAAGGAGCAGAAAGTCTTCCTGCACTTTGGTAAGAGCTGCGGCTCTCTGTTCCTGGGCCCTCTCCAGCCATCGCCATCTCCCCTTTTCCCAGAATATCCTCCCGGGGTTGGCAGTGGGGTGGGGTGCGGGGAAGGACTATGCCTGGAGAGGAAGGCAGTGTGGCCAGATGTGAAACAGGGATCACAGCAGAAACCAAGGTTTTGTTTGATTTCAGAGGAGGAAGAAATCACATTCGCGCCCACCTACCGTTTTGAAAGACTGACTCGGGACAAATACGCCTACACTAAGCAGAAAGCCACAGGGGTGAGTGAGTTCTCTTCACAGACGTCACCCTGACCCTCCATCACCACCCCCTTGCACATCTCTCCCCTCTTGTGTCCGTTCCCACAAAGACGAGCAGGAAACCGTTGAGCATCCTCATCCACTAGGCAACAGGAAGAAAAGGAAAATTAGCAATCACGTGTTGATTGGCATCACTGAGCAAAAACCTCTTCTAAGGAGAGGCTGGGCAGCCACACTTGCCCATGACGAGGAACCGGAGTTGTGACACTGAGGATTTACCTTCTGTCCAGATAGTCTAAGATTCTGAGAGGGTTTAAAGTATTTCTATAACTGGGTCCTGAAGCTCTTTCTAAAGTTCTGTGATCAAATCTGTTTGCTCATCTGCCAAGTGAATCATCAGTAAACAAGCTTCTTTGCTGCAGGACTTACCAGAGCCTTTACAGGTTTGTGAGCATTGTGGTTCTCCACAATGAAATTTGTGTGCCAAACTCAATTGGTCATGGCCAATTATGTTATGAGGCCCCTCGTGTTCCAAGGAACGGTGTTTCAGGGAAGCTGCAAAAAAACCTTCATTCGTTCTTGCTCAGCAGATACTTACTGATGACCTGTGATGGGCTAGGCACTCTCCTAGGTGGTAGGAGATCAAAGATGATGAGACAACACACAACGACTAACCAGAGATAGAACATGATGTTGCCGAATGCACAGAGGAGCAGTCAGAGAAGGACATGACCTACCGGGCAAGGAAAGATCAGGAGAGGCTTCTCAAAAGGGCCCAGGGGTGGTGCCTGAGGGACGGCTTGGATTTCCAAAGTGGACAGGACAAGGGATGAGGCTTATCATTTCCATTTGAAAGAATTGCTGGGACAGATAGGGAGACAGGAAATTCTGGCATCCATCACCTTCTGGGTCCTGACCAAGGGAAGCCAGCGCCCTGGCCAGGCCCTGAGGGGTTACAGGTGTGGAATGGTGTGTTCCCCAGTTTCTGGGGTTACTGGAGACCTAAGGAAATGGAGAGCAGTTCAGAATGTTGCCAGAGGTCTCGGGGCAAGAGGAGAACTTCAAGGGGGAGGGTGATGCCAAAACAAAGTAGGAGCCAATGGAGGAAACTAGATGGAGGACGAGAGGAGATCCAGGTCCGCTACCAGGAATGAGGCCGAGACCCGCAGGGCAAGACACCTGCTCGTGAGTTGTCCACTGGCTGCTGTGTACCTGCAGCCCCCTAGCACTGTCAGGGCAGGTCCGTGGGGACGTGGGGGGGCAGTGAGGCCGTGTCCAGGTTGACTCGAGCATGCGGAGACAGAGACGGGGGTTTAGCTGGGGTGAGGGAGGTCCTAGATGCCAAGTTAAGGTTTTAATCTGTTTGAGGGGCATCAGGAAGCCACTGAAAGTTCTGCCAGGGGCTGGCAGCATGGCAGCGATCTACAGCACAGGCCAGTCTGCCTCTGTGTAGAGGATGAGGATACAGGGAACCAGCGAGGAGGCCGTATGGTCCTTCCAGCTGAGCAACCGGGGCCTGAGTCAGAATCGGACCATGAAAAGCAAGAGGAAAGAAAGGACGTGTTGGCACATCTGATTGCCATTGATAGAAATGAAAATCAGAAGGCGGAGCAGGCTCGGAGGGGTAAGTAGAGCTTGTCTTCAGACTTAGTGTGTGATATTAGCCGACGATCTCAGAGGAAACCTCTAGAAGACAGTTGAGAATAGTAGATGACGCTGGAGACACAAGGACTGGGTCATAGACTGGGGAGTTGTGCCCGCAGAGAACATGGGCACAGCCATGGGGGTGGGTGGGTTGTCGGGGAGTAAGTGAAGGATGCAAAGAGAATAGCCATGGGCAGGTCTGGGGGCCATCCATGTTCGAAGGCGAGAGGAAGAAGCAGACACAAGGAAGGAGATGGGACATGAGTGCTCGCGTAGGTGGCCGGAGGACCAGCCGGGCATCTCAGCACCACAGGAGCCGGGGGTGAGAGACTGTCAAGGATCAGTGGTGGCCAGTGTGGAGTACGCGTCTGGGAGGGCATGTGCCCTGCACGTGAACCATGCCCGAGGAGCTGGCTTTGTGGCCCAGAGGGTTTACTGGACTTGAAAAACAGTTTGCAGAGTCTTGGAGGTGAAATCCAGACTTCAGGAGGATGAGGGTTGCTTTTTACCAAGTGGGTGCAGAGGACTCTGGTGACGCTTTCCAGAAATGCAGCTCTCTGGGCCTCATGCCCGGAGGCTCTGATGCAAGAGCCCTGGGGCAGGCCCCGCCTTCTGTATCTTTGTAAAGTTCATTCTTTACAGTCATTCTTGAGGCAGCCAGTGCTGAGGACCGTAACGCTAAGAGGAACAATGTGGCAGCACCTGTGAAACTGATCTACCCTGTGATCTGGTAATTCCCGCTTTGGAGTAGTACGTTTGTTTGTCAAGAGGAAGACACAGGAATGTTTATTGCAGCTTTGTTCACAATGTCCAAAAACTGGGAACAGCCCTATTTCTGTCAGTAGTAGAGTAGATAAATGCGGTATATGCATACGATGGGATACAACCACAGCAGTGCAGCAAATACACTTCTACAGACAACAGTGTAGGTGAGAGGAGCCAGACATCAAATGATATGTACTGAGTGAATCCATTTATAAGTTCAAGGCGAAGCAAAATTAATCAGTAGAGGCATTAGTCACCATAACGTTCACCTCTACGAGGTGGTGGTATGGACACAGAGGCACATGAGGGAACCTTTTGAGATGATGGAGATTTTCTATATCTTGATCTGGGTAGTGGTTAAATGGGTGTGTGCAAATATAAAAATTCCTCAAGCTGTATACTTGAGGTTAGTACCCTTTACTGTGTGTAACTTGTACCTCAAGTTTAAAAAACTAAATGGGTGGTCCAAAAGCAGAGGCAATGAGAATAGAACACTCTTGAAAGAAAATTGATAAAAAGAGGAAAGTAATTGAAAGAGATGGCAGGGGTAGGCTCTTGTATGATGAGTGCCTTTACATTTATAGGCAGAGCAGAGGGGCGCCTGGGTGGCTCAGTCGGTCGGGCGACCGACTTCGGCTCAGGTCATGATCTCGCGGGTTGTGGGTTCGAGCCCCGCGTGGGGCTCTGTGCCGACAGCTCAGAGCCTGGAGCCTGCTTCGGATTCTGCGTCTCCCACCTCTCTCTAACCCTCCCCTGCTCACGCTCTGTGTCTGTCTCTCAATAATAAATAAACATAAAAAAAAATATATATATATAGGCAGAGCAGAAAGGGCTAGAACTTAAAGGGATAAAGGATATTGCCAATGTGCCTTGTCTATCACACCCAGTGAGCATCTCGTTTGCCAGTGTAGCCCGGGAGAGGGCTTGTCTTAATACATTTTGTTTGACTGATTGGATGGTTACATGGATATGCAGATGGGTGGATGGATGGGTAGATGGGCAGGTAGTTGGGTGAATAAGTAGGTGGTGACTGACGGGATAAGTAGAGAGGTAGATGGCTGTGTGAAAGGATGGATGGATGGATGGATGGATGGATGGATGGATGGATGGATAAGTAGATGCTTGGCTGGCTGGATAAGTAGATAGGTGGATGGCTGTGTGAATGGGAGGGGTGGCTGGAGTGTGTTATTAAAGTAAGGAGCTGGAGAAGATAAGCAGAGACTGGGTTGAAAGTACCCATGTGTGGGGTTCATCTGAGTCAGAAAAAAAAGAGAAGATAAAAACAGGAACTTCTGAAATAATGCGGAGGATAGGTATGAGCACATGGCCAAGTGAGTCGATCTTCCAAAGCAGGAATCCAAGGCGTCTGACGGTGTGGGGGCAGCAGTGGACTCAGGACTTAAGGCAAATGAAAAGGCTTGAAGGCCACCTATGGGGAAAATCTATAAAGCTCCAACAGCACATGAATTCAAGGATTACAGAGGCCACATGTTAATCTTTTCTTTTACTGACTTACCTATTAAATAAACTAGCAGGCATCTCAAAAAACTCGTGACTGTGATTTTACAGATGAAATACAACCTGCCTTCCTGGTGTGACCGAGTCCTCTGGAAGTCTTACCCGCTGGTGCATGTGGTCTGTCAGTCCTACGGTGAGTGACAAGCTGGGAGCTTCGGCTCCCTGAAACCAACGGGCTGCAGTCGGTCTCTGTGAAATGGGAGAAGTCCCTGCAGCCCTGGTCAGGTGACCCGAAGGAGCTGACATATCCTCTCGTGTCTCAGGCTGCAGCATGACAAGTGTCTTCTGATTTGGGAAACACCAGAATTAAGGAGCCCCTCTTAAAAGAAACCCAGACTTGTTCTGAAAACGCATTAGGTTTGAACCACACGAAAGTGGTCTTTTTGTAGGTCAGAAATAGTCAACTATTGGAAATTCATATGGTTCAACCTAACATATACCATGGGTATATGCGTATGTATTTATGGAGATTTAAAGATAAATTGAGTTACATTGATGAGAAAGTTATAATACGCAATATTAAAATAAATAATTATGAAAAAGTTAGCAAAACAATTCAATAATTATTGACTCTAGAAGTTTAAGATATACTGAAGGAATTCTTAATTGCTTGAGTGCTCATTCTTAAAAGCTACCTCTTAATTCCCATTATTTGGAACTCTTCTGCACTGTGTACTTAGAGATTCAGAGCAGGGGCGCCTGGGTGGCTCCGTCAGTTAAGCGTCTGACTCTTGGTTTCGGCTCAGGTCATGATCTCAGGGTTTCGTGAATTCGAGCCCCATGTCGGGCTTTGTGCTGACAGCTCAGAGCCTGGAGCCTGCTTCGGCTTCTGTGTCTCCCTCTCTATCTTTCTCTCTCTGCCCCTCTCCCGCTCACGTTCTCTCTCAGAATAAATACAAAATAAATTTAAAAATTTCAGAGCAGAACTACCTTGAACACTTCACTGACTGACCATTGTGATATTATTTTTGAAACATTGCAGATTTTCAGGCAGTGACATCCAAAGGAGGGCCATCCTTGTTCCCATCCCAAGTCACTGGCCTCAGACACCTGGTGGACTGTTCATGACCTCACCCCTACCCCACCCACCAAAGGGAGGTTCTTGCTGCTGCCCAGTGGCCACCTTTGTGGCTCCCATCCTCTCTCTGGGGACCAGCAAACACCCATGTTTAAGTCCGGTCCCAACAGGTTGAACTGATTTCCATTCCTTTTTTTTTTTTTTTTTTTTTTTTTTTTTGCCCATGCCTCCTGATGCCCAGAGGGGAGCAAAGCGACTACCCTGGGAAGGAATGCACCCCACAGTCCCCTAGCACCTGAGCTCTGTCTCCCAGAAATGACTTCACTAGACAAACTTCACACCTTTAGGTGTGCAGAAAAGCATCCCGCCCCCATAGCCACAGCCAAGAATTATTCCGTGTTCAAGACCAATGAAGACTCCTATCCCACCCATTGTCAATCATCCCATTTCTCAGTGGTGCCTCTTTCCCACATCCTGCAACTCCATGAGTCCTGCCAATTCTTGTCTCTAGGAAGATGCCACCATCTGCCTTATTCAGCAGGTCTCTGCGGCGATTCAGGAGAAAGTACTGGCTTGTAGCATTACTGCGCTTTGAAGCTCTTTAAGCTTGGCGTCCAAAAAACTCCATAGTGGAGATTTTTAGGAAAACGGAGGGAGATTGGTCTGGAAGTGGCATTGAGGAGCAAAGGGGACACACCTTCCCACTTTCTGGACCCACATATGGGGACAAAGCAGACAAACAGCCCTTAGTTGAGACGCTGTGGTATTTTCCGAGGAAGGACCAGGTATAGAATGTGAAGGGAAAGTTGAAGACGTAGGGAATTTTGCTAATGATATTTCACTGAATGCCGGAGGGTGCGGAGGAAGAGTTTAATGATTTGGGAGTGAGCAAGAATTAGGAAAGAGAAGGGAATGAATGTCCAGAGCTCAGGAAATGGGGGTCAGCTGGGAGCTTGAGTCTTATGGTGATTAACATAAATAAGATGTATCAGTTAATCTGCTGCGTAACAAACTGCCCTAAAACTTGACAGCTTACAGTTCTCTGGGCTGGACTTGGGACTGTTCATCTCTGCTCTCTTTGGTGTTGGGCGGGCGCACTCAGGCCAGGCGCCCACCCAAACTGGGGGTTGGTTGGCCAGTTAGCTAGCTGTCAACAGGGGCGATGGTGGTAACTTGGCTGTGTTCATCACCCAGCAGGCTAGTCCAGGCTTCTTCCTGGTCCCGGGGGTCCCAGATGTGGAAGAGCTTTTCGAGTCTCTGCTTGTCTCACATTTCCTAATGTCCCGCTGGCCAAAAGAAGCCACAAAGCCAAGCCCAGACTCACTGTGGGAGGGGGGCATACAGTATGTGGTTACAGAGAGGCCACCCAGGTAACCATCGCCCTCCCAGTTTTCGGGGCACAGGCATCATACTGCTGGTGCTGTTCTGCTTGATACGTATGTAAATATTGTTAAAAATGCTGGTCTACCCTCTAACTTGTCGCTAGAACACCCCACGCTCGTCCTGATTCCCCTGCCTCCCCGCTTCACACAGCGCTGGACCCTCCCTGACTTCTTCCTGTCTACATCCAAATGTGACTTAGGCTGGCACCCTTCCTACCTTTTCCCTTCTGTCTCAGAGAAGGGGTGTCCTCCCCCTCTCCTGGCCCCTCTCCTCCATCCCTTCTTCCTTCCCCAGACCAGTACCCCCGCCTTCCTCCGCGTTCTCTTCTTTCATTCTGTCTCGTCGTTTCAACTGTCTTTCTGATGGTTGTTAGCAAGTGAGCATGATTTTCCATGTTTGGTAGCCATCCGTATTTCTTTCGGAATTTTCTGCCCGTGTCCTTTGGTTGGTTGAAGGGTGAGATGTTTTCCTTTGTCTTGCTGATTTATAAACACTTTATAGGAAAGGATGTAAATCGCCTTCCTGCCTTCTTGGTCTCCTGTGCTATTTCTCTTTGCCCATTACTGGCCGGTGTAGCTTGGGCCTCCTGCACACCTCCCCTGTGGAGCCCAAACATCCTCATGGCTTCTGCTTCCACCTAACATCGTGACTCCAAACCTAAAGATAAATCTCCAGCCTTGAGTACCCAGCTGGACAGCTCCACGTGGCTCTATTATAAGCACTTAGAACTCGGTATTTCTAGAGCTGTGTTCTTTCCCTTACGCCCTCCAAACATGCCTCACTGCATTCCCTCCAAGCGCCATGTTCCTTAAAAGAGTTGTCTACGCTCTGTCTACACTGCACGTTCCACTGTCTCCCAATCCTACGAGGCATTGTGGGATGGGGGAAGGCACCAAGTCAGTTGCTGATGAGCTCGGTGACCTGAATCCCCATCCCACACTGGGCCGTGAGCTCATCGGTGCAACAAAGTGCTGAGACCAGAAAAGTCTGAACGCTCCACAATCTATTTAAAAACTCGTGTGTCTCAAGGAAAAACTAGCACAGGCACATTTTTGCCACGGAGGAGAGAGTGTCACCCACTTCCACTGAGACTTTTGAGCGTGGTTGTGGAAGGCCAGTGGACTAACAGGTATAAAATCATGAAATTTCTGGAGGCTTCCATAAGTACAAGTTGATTTCTACCATGGGTTTGACCTCCTTGGTTTGACCAGAAAGGAATTCTCCTTCCCTGCTCAGAAATGCCTTCCCTCCCCTGCAGGCAGCACCAGCGACATCATGACAAGTGACCACAGCCCTGTTTTTGCCACATTTGAGGCAGGAGTCACCTCCCAGTTTGTCTCCAAGAACGGTAAGTGGTGGATGGTGTCCGTCCCTCTGTCGTCCGCGATGACAAGAGGCTTCGGGCACTCATCTTCTGATTACAGCAATCTGTTGTCCGTGGTAGATGGGGGCTCATCCTTCCAGACGAGTCCACAGTCCACGTCAGGCCATACCATGGTTTCAGTGCAGAGCATTTGCTTGTTCTCTTTGGCAGATACGTCAGCTTTCTGAGCCTCAGTTTGAATCCAGTCCTTAACATTGAATAAACGAGGGGCACCTGGGTGGCTCATTCAGTTAAGCCGCCAAGTCTGTCTCTTGGTTTCGGCTCAGGTCATGATCCCACGGTTCGTGGGTTTGGGCCCCCATCGGGCTCTGTGCCGACAGCCTGGAGCCTGCTTGGGATTTTCTCTCTCCCTGCCCCTCCCCTGCTTACTTTCTCTCCCTCAGATAAATAAATAAACTTAAAATGTTTTTTAAAACAAAATTTAAAAAGTTGAGTAAGTGAATGTTTTTCCAAGGCGTGGCATGTCCACCACCAAAGGCCATTCCGGGTGGGCCACGGATGAACATTCGAGAGTAATGCGTTTATTTTGACATGTTTTGCATCTGTCTCTTCTGTGTAAAGGCAAGCCACGCTGGTTTTTCATTCAGTCTCGTGGTGTCCTTTCTTAGTTAAACATGTTTGCCTAAGTTTAAACAGTGAGTCTATTTAAAGAAAATATTAAGCCAGCATTCACGTGGGTGCACGGTGGGCGGAGATGGTGAACATTGTAAGGATGGGATGTGGTGACTGAGTTTGGGAAATGCTAGAGTAAATAATACTTAGATCTGCAGGTAAATTTTCAAGTAATCCAGCTCAGCCCGGCTCACCAGGCCACCGTCATCCCAGCAGGGGTCTGGTGTTCTCTGTGGTGCATCCAGCCTGGGCCTGGGTGACTGGGGAGCCATGTTGTCACCTCCTCTGTAACCCTCCCCCACCCCTCTTCTGTGGTCAGCAGACAGTCCGGGCTAATTTAGGAAGGTTGAGTGGGGAGCTCAATGCAGGTAGGAAAAGTCTGTATTACTGTGTGTCCTTCATGCCATGAAGGATGTGGGCACGACTGGAGTACTGTCTTTCTGGGACACTCCTCTCCATGCTGTTGGGTCTAACATCTACTCTAGCAGCGTGACCTCCCCTCTCCACACAGCCTTAATCCACCACCCTGTCTCCATGCTAGCTCTGAGCACTGTCTTTCCAGAACCTTCCATCTCTCCCAGGCCTCTCACCCATCTCCCATCTCTCTGAGTTCCTGCAGCTTTGATGGGGTGGCTGATGCCATCACACCCTCGGTGAGGACCCTCATCACATCATCGGTATCAGGCTTGTCTTCCCTCCACTGGCACCCAGTACACAGAAGACACAAATGCCCATGACCTGGATTGAGCATAGGTTGACTCTTCCTAAGCAGAGCCTGGTCTAGATGCTGTGGGATTTAAGAACATAAAAGAAAGCTGAGTGAAATAAGCCAGAGAGAAAAAGTACCATAGGCGTATGGTATCACCTCTACGCGGGATCTTGGAAGAAACTGCCAATTTCGTAGAAACAGTAGGAGGGTGGTTGCCAGGGGCTGAAGGGAGCGGGAAATGGGGAGATGGAGGTCAAAAGGTCCAGACTTTCAGTTACAAGATGAGTAAATTCTGGGGAGCTAATAGCATGATGACTACAGGTAATAATACAGTATTGTAAACTGGAGATTTGCTGGGAGTAGATCTGAAGCATTCTCACCACACACACACACACACACACACACACACACACACACACACATACACACACACACACACACACACACACACACACACACACACACACACACACACACATACACACACACACACACACACACACAAACCAGTTAATTATGTGGGTGACGCATGTGTGAATTGTCTTGATCTTGGTAAGCATTTCACAGCGTATATGTGTATCAAAGCATCACGCTGTACCCTTTGAATGTGCACAATCACATTTGCCAGTTATTCCTCAATAAAGCTGGGGGAAAAGGAATAGAAAGGAAAGAAGGGCGCACAGGCGGGACGGAGGACCGGGATGTCTGTCCTTGCTCTCGGGTGGCTCAGAATTTACACGGAAGGATGGAACTTGTTCAAAGCCAGCCTGAGGACACTTGCAAACACAATCCCCTCCGTGAATGCCATGAGGAGCCAACTGTGGATGAGGGTAAAGAAGGAGTGGAGGGAGGTCAGCCAGAGGCAGGAAGAGCAGGTAGCCCTTGCTACCCGGACCTAGAAACGACACAGATTTGGGTATCGACCAGAGCCTTTATACAAGCTCTGTTTGCCAGAACAAATGGGGAGACTGAGGCACTGAGGCTAAGGGCGTCGGGCTCTTGGCTCCTTGAAGTCTTTGCTCTTCCCGCCCTGCTCTCCGCACATCAGAGAGGGTGTTCCCACCGTTGCGGTTGCTCAGCGCATGTGGTGGGATTCAGGAAAACCTCTCCTTCGCCTGGACCTCACCTTCTCTGGGCACATTGTGGAGCCACATCTCTTTGTCACCTGTTCCAGGCCCCGGGACCGTCGACAGCCAAGGGCAGATCGAGTTTCTCAGGTGCTTTGCCACGCTGAAGACCAAGTCCCAGACCAAGTTCTACCTGGAGTTCCACTCAAGCTGCTTAGAGAGTAAGTGGTGCCGAGCTGCTACCTGTTGGCCGTGCAGGCAGGAATCTTTCTCTTAGGTGCCTTTTCACTGGTGGCGCCTCGCCCCTCTTCTCTCTGGGAAGGATTCACAGATGGGCCTCACAGGGGTCTGCAAGGGGAGCGATGGAGTCTGTGGTTACTGTGGGGGCACCCCCCGGCGGCCTGTGATCCTGCCATTGCGGCCTCAGAGGCAGGGACAGTCACTGAAACACTGACCTGTCGTCAGCCCTTGGAGGTGACCGGGCCGCTGGCTCCTCTCCTTGCCCCTCGAGTGTAGCCCCCGAGGGTCCCTCCCCTCCCCAAGCTGGGGCCCTGACTCAACCCGAGGGTCCTGGGCAGAGGTCCAGAGCTCGTGGAGGCCAGTGCCGGGCCTGACCAGCCGCTGGTAGCCACCTGTCCTTCCTTCCGGAGTCCTCTGCTCCTTGGTACACGACGGGCCTCTTTCTCAGGTGTTCTGGAGCATCCACAGGCAAGCGAGAGACGGACGGCCTGCTCCCAGCCAACAGCAGTTAGCACAAACTGTGTTTAGCAAACACCATTTCCGGGTGACATTTCTAGGCATATTGTCTAAAGCTGTTTTGTGGCAAGATCTGGGTGGTTTCTAGCTCCCCTCGCCGAGATGGTCTGGAGGGGGGGGGAGGGGGGCAGAATCAACTCCATCGAAGGAGGCATTTTGGGACAGGATGATGGCTGCTTCCAGAAATCCCACTCCCCTCCCTTCCTTCTCCCACTCAGCCCGGGCTCAGTCTTGTTGACAGACCTGCCTTCTCCGCGAAGTTTCCAGGTCCCGAGTCACCAAGCAGGGGCAAGGCACCTCCAAAAATGATGAGGATTTTTGTGCGGGTGTTTTTAATAAACTATCGAGACATTTGCATACATTTCTATGGAAACAGCATATTAGGAAGCTTAAATTAGCATTTCGAAAGGCTGCTATCTTGAGTGGCGTGGGACAAGCTGTCATGTTTCCTAATCTCCTTGCCTGTGATGTGATGATTTCTTTGTTGCCTGGTTTGTTGCAAAAAAGGAGCTGAAAAGGAGGGAAGTCTCTGAGTTTTTCCTAAAAATAATCCAACCGTGTTGGCAAATGACCATCCCCTGCATCAAAACAGAATCCCCCACAAGCCTGACTCCCAAGCAGTGCTGTGGCCCCTATAGATGAAAGAGGGAGAATATCTTCCTCGGTCTGGGTGGGGCGACCCTAGGAGTCTTCTCTGTCTGGCTCTTGTTTGTTCTTTGAAAACCAGCCTTCTTGTCCTCTGTCAGGTTTTGTCAAGAGTCAGGAGGGAGAAAATGAAGAAGGAAGCGAGGGGGAGTTGGTGGTGAAGTTTGGCGAGACCCTTCCAAAGGTAAGTCAAGAACAGGATGTAGCCGGGGAGAACTTGGCATTCGCCAGCCCCTGTGGCCCCAGCATTCCTTAATGGATCACGGAAGAGACCCAGTGATGGATTTGTCTGACCATGTGACTTTGCAAAGAAGGAAACTGAGGCAGATCCCAGAGAGGCTGGTTCACAGTCACACAGCCACACAGCTGCGGTGACAGGCCCCAGGCCCCGAGGTCCTGATCCTCCTGCAGTGGCCTTTCACCTGCTCAGCCCAGCTTGGGGGATCGAGTGAAGGGGCAGAGAGGAGTTCATTGCTTCTACCTGAACACTGGGTTCAGAAAGAACTTGACGTGTCCATGGCCCCGTGATAGCAGAGGGTGGAATTGAAAACACACAGACCGACCATACTGGCAACACGTTCCTCTTTCTTATGGAAAAAAAAAAAAAAATTGGTGTTCTACCTGGGACCCAGAAAAGCTTTTGTGACGTTGAGTTGACGGTGGCCACGTCTGGGCGTTCACGCTGGGTGCGCGGCGGAGTAGGACCTTGTGGGGTTTTCTGTCACATAATGAGGAAAGGGTATGCAGAGGGGAGTTCAGGCCAGGCAGATCTGTTGTATGCGGCAAGAGTCCCAGGGGCTCTCCTGGAAGGTTCCCTCAGAGGTGACACCCAAGGTGAGCTTTACAAGATGGCCTTAAACAGGCGGAAGGACCCATCCGCTCCTAAGGCTTGGGTGGGACATGGGCAGTTTTGGGGGGCTGTTGATTGGAACCCGTTCTTGGGCCATGTCACAGAGTGTCCTAACTGGGGAGCACTTCTGATCGGGGTCCTCCACAAGGCCGTAGCTGTCAAAAGTCCTCATACTGGGGCTGTTCTCAGGTACCTGAATCCCTGTGGCTTAGGTCTCCAAGGTGACATCCTGCCTCAGCCACCCACGCGACCCTTCCGTTCCTCCCATCCTGGCTGCCCCACGTGGCAACCAAATGGCCCATCTCCTCCTTCAGTCAAGTTGTGAAAGATGCCAGCGTCCCCGTCCATATAACACATGTACCCCCGTCTGGTTCAGGGGATTCCACGGTACCCTGGCCCTACATCCTCACTGCTACCAAGACCTGCTCTTCCTCCTGCCTCTGTCCCTCCTCTCCACCTCACTGCCGCCTCCCTCAGGGTCTCCATCCCACCCGCCTCCTTGCTGAGGCATCCTGAAGCCTGATGGAACTTTCTGGAATGCCTGTCTGGTCCTGGCATTCCCCCTCTTTATCTAGTTGGCTCCCAGCCCCCTCCTCACTCTCCAGCTTCACCCGCTGCCCCCACAGCACCTAAGGGGCCCCCTGACCCTCCAGCCATCCCTGTCACCTGACGGCACCCTCTCTGTACCCTCTATAATCCCACCAGGGCACCCTGACAGAAGCTCCCTGCGCTCTACCGTCACTCCGACCACGATGATCATGTCCCCTGGGAGTCAGCTCTAACCCTGTCCCCTTCTCTGTGCAGCTGAAGCCCATTATCTCTGACCCCGAGTACCTGCTGGACCAGCACATCCTGATTAGCATTAAGTCCTCTGACAGCGACGAATCGTATGGTAAGGGTCCCTGGAAAGGTTGCTGCACCTGCTGTTAGCCGGTGGCCTCTCATGTAAGGGAGGCACTGGCATCTCCGTTCCAGAAAGCCCAGCTCCCGCTCCCCATCCTGTTCTCCTGTCCCCCTCTCCCCCTCCTAGGGCTGCCGGAGGGACAGTTACTGGTAACTCATCCTTCCTGCCTTGTCGGGCTTCTGGGAGGAATAGCCAGTAGCCACAGCCCCTCTCGTTTATGGAGTCTTTCCTGCGTCAAGAGTCTGTGGCAGGTGCTTTGCAGGGATCATTTAACCCTGACAAGACCTTATAAAGCATGTACTATTCTGTCAATCAGTAGGTGAGTAAACTGAGGCTCAGAGAGCTTAAGGGACTTGCCTAAGTCACAGGTAGAAACTGGCTGAGCCCTAATTTGAGCCCATGTCTGTCTGGCGTTGGTCAGTGCCCATACTGGGCAGACACCAACTAGAGCGACGTCATCTTCTATGACATTTTCTTCAGCCAGTGCGTGGCTCCAGCCCAATGTCAGGTTCGAACTCCATACACTCATTGTGGTTAGAACACAGGGATAAGAGGGGCAGGTGGCCAGAGCGAGGCTGGAGGCAGGAGCCAGATCAAGCAGCTCCTTGCAAGAGGCAGACAAAAATGAATCCTGGTCCCAGGAGGGTGCTCAGTTTTCAATGGAAGGAATTTGAAGGTGTTCAAATGCTAATCAGGGGAAGTCAGGAAACAAGAGGCCGAAGACACAAGGATGTCTATGTGTTGGTGGCCTACTGTCCAGGCTCGCCAAAGGCCCTGGAATGGAGGTACAATGGCTACCTTTGCTGCAGAGGTGAGGAAATGAAGTGACCTGTCCAAGGTTACTTGTCCTTGGCCACGGAGTGACTTTGACAGGCTACCGTGTGACCTTGGACTTGAACCCCGGCAACCCAGCTCCAGAATCCTGTCCTTCACCCCCTCCTAGCACAGCACTGGACAGAGGGTCCCAGAGCCAGGTAGGGGTGGCCAGAGCCTGAGGATTGTACCAGCCCTGGATGGGGGAACCTCTATCCATCATGTCGGGGCAAAGAACGGATCCATGTGGAGTCAGAATGTTTGAAGTTTTGGTGGTAGCACACAGGAGCACAGGAAGGATGGTTCCGTTTTCTTGTTCAAATACTGTCTTCTTCCTTTGTTTCTGCCTCTTGGTATTCACACAAACAGCATATCGTAATAATAACGGGAAAAAAAAGCCAGCCCACAGTCTCATTCCCCACAACGGGAACCATGTTTATTTTGGTCTCACACTTCTATCCTCATACATAGGCATACATAGATTTCTATATTTACAACCACCACAGAGGTGCCATTTTTAATTTTCTTTCTCCCCCAGTGATAGACACGTCAGACGATACACGTTTTCGTGATCATCCTCCTGTACGGCCTTCACGACGGCTGCATTTAATGGCTTAATGATACCCCATGGGTTTGCTGTTGATTATTCCTGTCCGTGTTCTGAATAATGCTGAGATGGATGTCTTTGTGAGCATTTTTGATCCTCCTTCAGCTACATTTTTATTCTTTCGAATCCTCTCTTTAGGATAAGTTCCCACATGTGCCGGGTCAAAGGGCACAAATACGTTGGTGATTCCTGACACTCGTTATCAAACTGATTGCTGTAAAAAAAAGTCTTGCCATGTTGACCTCACCATGTCCAAGGGTACGGGTTTCCCCAGATCCTTGCTGGTTCTGGGGATTCTTTTGCTTCCTTCCATCTTGTACTAATTTCCTGTCTGTAAGAGAGTCCCTTAGTGCTGTCTTAATTTGCATTTTTAAAAAAAATTTTTTTTTCAACGTTTTTTATTTATTTTTGGGACAGAGAGAGACGGAGCATGAACGGGGGAGGGGCAGAGAGAGAGGGAGACACAGAATCGGAAACAGGCTCCAGGCTCCGAGCCATCAGCCCAGAGCCTGACGCGGGGCTCGAACTCACGGACCGCGAGATCGTGACCTGGCTGATGTCGGACGCTTAACCGGCTGCGCCACCCAGGCGCCCCTTAATTTGCATTTTTGATGGCAGGGAAGACTGAACTAGTTTCCATTCATTGAAATTAACCAGTTACAATTCTTTTTGTGTGAAATACCTGTTTGGGTTATATGCCCAGTTACCTGCTGGGATTTGATTTTGAGGAGTTCCTTGTGGGGTTCACGAAGCCATCGGTCTCTTTCACATTTTCCTTTCTGTCTCTGTGCAGAAGTTTTAAGCTTTTATATCTTCTTACCTGTCGGTCTGTTTTGTCATTTCTTACATTGCCTCAAGCCCTAGGAAGTTATCATTCGCTCCCGCAATCAGATTAGTGGTTAAGTCTGCTCGTCTGCTGGATTTTCTAGGATTTAATTCTTTTTTTTTTTTTTTTTTTTTTTTTTTTTTTTTTTTTTTTTTACATCAACTAATCCACGTGGAGTTCATTCCACTGTAAGGTTTGAAATGTTTTTCCCAAATTGCTGAGGCGTTGTTCTAAAAGCTTTATTCGATAATCCCCACCTTGGACATTGTTTCGAAGGATCATCTTTGGACGGTGGAGTTAATCTCCAGGCTGAACGCATGGTGTTTCTCCCGTGAAATGCCTCTTGACATGACTTGTTCTCCCCACCTGCCCAGGCGAAGGCTGCATCGCTTTACGGTTAGAGGCCACGGAAACTCTGCTCCCCATCTACACGCCTCTCACCCACCACGGAGAGATGACAGGCCACTTCCGGGGGGAGATTAAGCTGCAGACGTCCCAGGGCAAGACAAGGGAAAAGCTCTATGGTGAGTGGGCACGAGCCCTCCCCTGCTCACTCTTCAGTGCTGCTGGCTTAGGGACAGGAAAGACATTTCTCTCCCCTCAGCCATTGCGTGTTCTCTCTGCTGTGGCCTCAGAACAGAAATCCAGCATCACAAGGGATGTCAGAGACCATCTGGCCCGATTCTTAACTGACTCAAGAATGTCCCTACAGAACCGCAACATCCCACGGCCGCACGTCTTCGTTCCCTGACCCCAGTCACCTTCCATCTGTAAGGATGGGAAGCTCGTGAATTTTCCAGATGCTCTGCTGCTCTTGTCTCCTGTTAGTCTTTTAGGCCTTGTCACTCCCAGTTAGCACCTCCACCAGAAAGACCAAGATTATACAATAAACCTGCCTGATTGTGAATAGTTCTTTCCAGGCTGCAGCTCACACACACATACCTACGTAGCTACGCCCTGCCCTCATGGTGCCGGCCAGGGCTTCTGGGCCTTTCCAGATTGCTGTCACACACCCTGTGCTCTAAAAAGCGGCCCCATCCTCGTACTTCACACATTTCCTTGGCTTTTCCCTACCTAGGCCCCACCCACCGCCCAAAACAGCGGCATCTTCTCCTCTGTTCCTTGGCAGGGTCCCCCAGCACCTCTTCCAGCTTGACCTCAACTCTTTGTGTCCTGCAAAACGACACTTGCTTCTTTCTGCTGGCCGTCAGGAGAACACGTTTCTCGTGGCTCTCAGAAAGGACACTGTGCAGCCATGCTTGGGAACAAATGCTCATTGAGTGTTTCTTCACCCCACGTGATGTCCCAGCCTTGGGGAGTCCTCTCCTGTCTGTCCCCAAAGGAGACTCATTAGGGAATTGTAGATGCCTCATCTCTAGATAAGAATTGTCACTGCTCCTCTGGGGAATATCGAAACGTGGCCAAGAGACCTTAATAGCCGGGAACACGAGGACGTTTCTAGACTCAAATCTGTAATTTTCTCAGAATCCTTCCCCAAAATTTTAAACTTGGAAACTAGCGTGTAGAGTCCTCAGTAGTATCCATCACATTAAAACCTCTGTGCTTGAAATAATAAATGATTTGAGGGATACAGAGCTGCTCAAAATGTGTTAATCAAGCATTTCTTGCTTCCCACACAAACAACAGGTGGTTTTTCCTTCCTTTTGCCTTTAATTCCTATTCAAAAGCACTCTAACAACAATGCCTAAAATGAGTTGGACTTTAACTTGATGCTGGATAATGTGGGAAACAATGGTCTTATGAAGGTATCCCATTAATGCCTTGCAGTGGCCCTGACGGCCCGGTTTCGTCCTTGTGTGGTAGACGGGGAAACTGAGGCGCAGAGAAGTTTAGTGTTTGGCTGAAGGTCATATATCTAGCAGGCGCCTAGCCCAGGGTGAGAGTACAGGTTCACAGGAGGCTAAGGTGGAATTCATAAACTCCACGGGGGCCTGAGTCTCACACGGATAATGAGAGCAGGACTCACTGTGTGTAGACGGTTAGCATTCCCTGCTTCTGGGAGGGCTCTGGGCCCCCAGGGGTACTATCTCCTGTGGATGGGGCTCCCTCTTCTGCCCTGTGGGAGCTCCTTTCTCCAGCAGAACCACAGGCTGGGGTGAGAGGGACTTGCCTCCTGTGCAAGCACAAGCCAGAGTCCGAAAGGAAGGTGGCGTCCCAGTTCCCCTTTAGACGAGCTTGGCTTTGGTCTCAGATGCTCTTACGGAGCCACCTTGTTAATGTTTGTCTCATTCGGATCTGCCAAGAAATGTTTCCCTGCCCCTTGTGAGACCAATAAGTTGGACATGTCACATGACAAGACAACTCTGGGTGTGGACTCTTCTCCCCGGGGAGCGGGGACACGCATCCTTCTTCGATCACTGAACTCATGTGAGGCCTCAGAATCTTGCTTGGCCCACCTCCCAGACAGCCACGGTTGACTGTCCCGCGTCGGCTGCCAATGGAAACTTCTATACCATCCTGGCCCATGCTGGGCGCTCTGGCCCTCACGTGCTGTTTGCTGTATCTCACCCTGCAGACTTTGTGAAGACGGAGCGAGATGAGTCCAGCGGGCCCAAGTCCCTGAAGAGCCTCACCAGCCATGACCCCATGAAGCAGTGGGAACCTGCCGCCAACAGGTAGAACAGGGGGGGTTGCCAGGGCTTCCCCACAAACTAATGTGACTATGCAGACCCAGGACCCAGGGGAGGGTGAGTGGAGCACAGAGAAACCAGGGACCAGGAGGGAATGAGAGCTCTGGCCAGGGAGAGGCGTTGTCCGGCTGCCAGCCCCGGGCAGGTGGGTGTGCCTGTCTGTGTGCGGCCTGGGAGACGCTTCTGTGTCGGAGAGCAGTGGACTTCACTGACATTGGCCGAGCCCTTGGCGTGTGTCAGAGTCCAGAGAAATCAAGGCAAAGTAGGTGAGCCCCTGATTTGGGAACTCCCGGCCTAGCAGCAAGATGCCCAGTCCAGGGGGAAGCCACTGCAGAGGTGACTGAGGGGAATGGTTCCCGCGTCTCCTGGGGACCCGTGACAGCAGCGGCTCTGTGGTCAACAAACCCATCCTGTTGCTAAGGGGAAAACAATCACTGAGGAAAGTGCACACAGGTTGCTCTTGGCAGAGCCTGGACTGGGAATCACACAGACATTAAAGTCTATGTGACCAGGGGACAGGAGTCCCACTGGCAGGGCCGCCTCAGCTCACTGCTGGGGTCCCGAGTCCTAGCATCAAGCCAGACGGCGTCGTCATGGTCCCTGTGCCCGCTTGCCTGCTGAGGGGGTGAAGCCATGCCGGTTAGCCAACGCGAAATCCCAGACGCCACTGCAGAGCCCGGCTTAGTCCCCTCCTTCAGGCCCCCAGACCACTGTCCCTCCAGCCCTTGTCCTCGCACCTGCCCCACCCATGCACCAGGTCTCCCCTCTCCCAGCCAGTCCCTCGCCCACTTGCAACTTCTGACCCTCAGAGCCATATAATGTTCCCTTCCAATCTTTTTCTTCCAATGTTATCCCATCAATGAATGTATCCTAACTTTCAGATGTCTGTTTGGTTCCAGAATCAGGATCAGTGAGGGTCAACAAATTCTTTTTCCATTTGGCTAGTATTAGAACTAACGCTTCTCCTTCTTCTTCTTTTTTTTAATTTTTAATGTTTATTCTTGAGGGAGAGAGAGAGACAGCCTGCGTGAGGGAGGGGCACAGAGAGAGGGAGACACAGAATCTGAAACAGGCTCCAGGCTCCAAGCTGTCAGCACAGATCCCGACGTGGGACTCGAACTCAGGAACCATGAGATCATGACCTGAGCCAAAGTCGGAGGCTTAACTGAGCCACCCAGGCACCCTGAACTAATGCTTCTTAAGTAGGCATTGACGGATGGGGAAGAGATAGACTGAGGCTGGTTGAGCAGATGAGAGCTGGGGAGCCTTGCTCGTAACCCGTATACTCAGCTCTCTACTAGTTGGTTCTCATAACAGCACTCTCTCACAAGGAAGGACGACACTCTTGTCGCCGAGAGGCAGCACGGTGTGTGTGTCTCCCAGGGTCACCTCAGCCAGTTCAGTGTTCAGCCCTCCACAGTGTTAAGCTGACTCCCCCTGACATTCAAGGTTCCGGCCTTGACTTCTGTGACCTCCTGCCCATCGTTCCAAATGCCTGCATGGCCGTCCCCATTCTGATGTCTCACGCAGTGGTGCAAGCCAACACATTCCAGATGGAGCCAGCCGTTCATTTACCACCCCCTCCCCAGCCCTGCCACCCCCCACCCACGCAGCCTGACCTCGCCAGCCTCTTATCCATTCTCCCCACCCTCTTATCCATTCTCCCCACTTGCTCACAGCCCTTCAGGACTATGAAGCCCCTCCTACCAGGGCCTCCCACCCCGTCTCCCCTCCCTTCCTTACCTGCCTCCTCAGACAGGTCTTCTCTGCTCGCCCTGTGCCCAGTTCATCCCAGCCCTCCAGCTAGTCTGTCTCTGCCTCTTTTGTTTCCCTCAGACTTCAACACTACGTGAACACCGTGTTTCTTAGTCACTGTGTTTTTGTTTTCTTGCCTGTCAGACGTGGATTTTATGAGAACAGAGACTGGCTGCTCTGTTCACACCCATATTACCTTCTGGCCCAGGGCCTGGTACTTACTAAGCACTCCATAACTATTTTGCTGTAGGAATGAATGAATGAATGAATGAATGAATGAATGAATGAATCCACTGTCCAAAGAGTGAAGGAATCGCGGAGGACCTGGGGTCCCCGAGGGACATCAGAGGATGCTGGCCTCATGGGGTGCTGACCTGGAGACGGGAAGGGAGCCCTGGGGTGTGACTTTGGGTGTTTTTCCCCTCCAGGGTCCCTGCATGCAGTGGCTCCAGCATCACGGAAATCATCAACCCCAACTACATGGGGGTGGTGCCCTTCGGACACATGAAGCAGTCCTTGTCCCCTGACCAGCAGCCCACAGCCTGGAGCTATGACCAGCCACTAAAGGACTCATCCCTGGGGCCTGGAAGGGGAGAGAGCCCCCCAACACCACCGTCCCAGGCACCCATATCACCGAAGAAGTTTTCGTCCTCCACAACAACCCGGGGCCCCTGCCCCAGGACACAGGAGTCAAGGTGAGCGTCCTCTTCATCAAGTCCTCTCCCTTCCCAGGGTTTTCATCACCGGGAAACCTGACCCTAGAATAGAAGCTGCATGAAGCTAGGGTTGTGTGTTCACTTTGGTCATCGACTCATCCTCAGGGCCTAGAACACAGTAGGCACTCAATAAATGCCTATGAAATCGCCATGTCCTACCCTATTGGTATAAATTGGAAAGACTTAAAAAAATAGAACATTTTTTAAGATACTGCCCCAAAAAACAACTTCCCATAAAAACTACATTTATTGGAAAATATGTTTCTATCACCAGTGAGCCTTCATGCAACCTCTCAAGGAACAGGTGGGAATTTCTGAGTTCCCCTGCCTTTTCAGCCACAAGGGTCCTGTTCCCATCCACAACTTTTCCATCTCTCCTTTTGAGGCCAGTAAGAAAAAGCAGTAGCTATGGGGTGGGGGGTGGGGGCATGGATTTTGAAGGGTGGGAGGGCAGCCGGCCTGCAGAAGGAGTTTGGCCAAAAAACTTTGGGAAAGGCCAGGAGCCCAGAGAAAGCTGGCCTGCATCTAGAACTGGGCCAGGAGGACAGAGCCAGGAGGAGCTCAGGCCAGGCAGCCAAATCTCCATCCACTTCTCACTTGTGCCACGTAACACGTGAACCCATCCTTTAGAGAGGGAGCCCTACGAGTTTTCCAGTAAGCACAGGATGACCGGGAAATTAAAAGTGCAGATCCCGATTAACGATGATTGGAGACGTACGAAGTATCATGAGCACCGTCTTTCCTTGGTCGCTGTCTTGGTAATGACTTCAGGGGGCTGCTTCTGGACCTCTCTTCCCCTCTGAGGTCCTCTGTTCCTCAATGGTGTCTTCCATCATTTATGAGGAGCCAGGGAAGGGACCGTCATCACACATCATCGTTCTTGCTTAGCACACCTGGCCTGGCAGGAGCTTCCTTTGGATTGAGGGGTACTTTACAGGTTTGCTTCTCAAGCATTTTTGCTAAAAACAAATTGGACAGATGCACGGAGGGGAGGAGGATGGGATAGGACAGGAGCAGTCGCGAGGCCCCTGAGCCTCACCCTATCTCTCTGTGGCCCTAGTCTTCAGGGTTTGTTGATAATATTTTTGGACTGTGGTTATCCTGTAAGAGCCTTGGAAGAGGTTTCTCCCTGGGAAATGAAAACAAAAGCCACCGTTTGACGGGTGCTGAGGTCCCTCTGTGGCAGCCCTGATTCTTTAAGCGTAATGATTTTAAGTTGCCAAAGTCAGTGTACCTTTGTACTTAACAACTTGAACACAGCACATAGCCTGGAACTGGGTGGGGATGTATTCTCTTTGGTTCCACGGGTGACAGCTTCAGAACGGGCACATCTGTAGGGAAGGGGTCCCCAGGGTGGGGTTCTAAGCTCGCTTTGCACAACCGAGGTGATTCTAGGCAAGAAGCCAGCAGCTCCCATGCCTGGCGGCAACCCTCTCCACTACTCAGACCCCCGGCTCAGCCTGAGTGAAAGGCTGGAGGGGGGGTGTCCCCAGCACCCTCTGTTCCCTGCCACCTCCACCCCACACCCAGGTGGAGTGAACAGCCGTTTCCGTTTGCTCAAGACTGTCCCCATTTCAGCACTGGGAACCCACGTCTCAGGGAACTCTCGAATCCTGGGCAAGCTGGGACATATCTCTGGGCTGAAGTCATGTGGTGAGGAAGGGGGGCCCGTCTCAGACCCTGCTCAGTGCTTCGCTTTAGAAAGGAAGATTCTGGAATCTGACAAGTGGGGTTATTTTGCCCCCTGGATATTGGTTCACTCATTCCACAGCCATGGCCTCCTCTGGAACTTGGTTTCTTGTAACCTGTGGTCGGGGAAATAAGACTTTTTGAATTTCTTGTGGTTTTCCCCAGTCGCCCTGCCCCCACCAGACCCCTCTCTCAGAGTGACAAGAGCCCCCTCAGGTGGAAGTCTTAACTTGCCCCCTGCTCTTTTCCCAGGGAAGGAACTTTGGAACCAACAAAACACTCACCCCCAGTGGCCTCTTCCCGGCCCTGCCCCTGATCCTCCTGTCATTTCAGCTGCCAAGAATCAGGCCATGCATTTTTCTTTCCAGCTTCTTGACTCTATCAGAAATGTCTGATCGATGCCTCTTGTATCTTCCTGCACCTTCCTCCCTGCACCAATTCATAGCCAAGATCTTTGAGGATCCAGCAGGGGTACAGAGGGTGGCCTGACGTGGAGGGGCAGCTTTTAAAGTCTTTGTTCAAGGCCCCAACAATTCTGATTATGCAACTGCTTCTAAGTCTTTCCAAAGGGTAATGAGCAAAAACCCCAGGTCAACAGTCAAGCCCCCTTTGGCATGTCCCCGAGGCTCGCCTCCCCCACACCCGTGGCCTCTCGTCTCATGAGGACCCATGTGAGGGTGACATCTCGCCTCTGTCCCTGGAGCCCACGCCTATTCCCTGAAGAGCCTATTAGCCTTGGCCTTTCCGCGACTTTGGAACAGTGTTTCAGTGCACGTTCCATCAGTAAGAGGCGTCGCGGCCTCAACACTTCATTGGTTTCCTAGGGACCTGCTTGTTCACGACACCTTCCCCTTTTTGCAGAAAGCAGAACCCAGAACACTCCCCCCCCACCCCCCACCCCGGGAGACTGTGCTGTTGGCCAGAAAGTAAAACGTGTTCCCATTCCTGATTATAATTCGCTCAGCAGGAAATCACCTCGAGTCAAAGCAGCAACAATTCAGGAAACACATCAACACAGGCAGCTCTTCCCTCCTTGCAGTTGGAACCCGGAGTGTCTGCGCTGCCCAGAGTCAGACAGGCCTGTCCGCTTGCCCGGCGCTGGCCCACGTCTCTCCCGGTTCCCTCTGAGTTTCGGCACGGCCACCCCATTTTTCTTTCCCTCTTTGAGTGAAGGAAACCACACTCACCAGGAGCTCTCCAGGGAGAGAGGGCTGTGTGGTTGGGAAGAATGCTGTGCTCATTGGGAGCATCGGTCCCCTGAGCACAGATTTTTGTCTGGTTCGTGGCCCCCTCCTGTGCCTGAGGCAGCATCCCACACATTGGGGGCCCCTGCTGTCTGTTAAACGGAACTCCTTGAGCTGGGGCCCTGGGGCAGCACAGATAGGTCGCTGAGGGGGTGCGGTCCCCCGCAGGCTTCTGTTCTGAGGGTCTGAACAGAATTTGCTAGAGACAACATAGAGGCTGTGGGGTTCTTATGAGGGGAGTCCAGGAAAGGAGGTCCGTTAGCTGCTGTGAGGGGCGGGGGTGTGGAGGGCAGGCTTCTCTGACAAGGACTGAAGAGGTGCCTTTGACATTGATGGTGCCATAGAAGTGAACTCCCTTCCCTTTCTCCTATGAAAGCTTCAGCGAAGCCCCCACCTTGCTCCCTAGTGCTCCAGTGTGAGCAGTGAAAAGGTCTAAGGCAAGAGGTGAGCTTACCTGTGAGATCATCAACAGATGAGCAACATAGCACCGTCTCCTCTCATTTTTAGATTTGTTTAATTGAAGTGAAATGCCCATAACAAAATTAACTTTTTTTTTTTTTTTAAAGAATAGAAATACTCAATTTTGGTGGCGCCCAGTCTCGTGAGTTTGGGCCCCACTTTGCATTCTGTGCTGGACAGCTCGGAACCTGGAGCCTGCTTCAGGTTCTGTGTTTCCCTCTCTCTCTGCCCTTCCCCCACTTGCACTCTGTCTCTCTCAAAAACAGACATTTAAAAAAATTTATTTTAACGTTAAAAAAAATATTTTTTTCTCATCGCAGTCAAAATTGAAGGACATCTTTTATATGAAACTCCAGGAAAATCATTGCTGGATGCTTCTTTTTCTTTCTTTTTTTTCAATTTTATTTAAGTTCTAGCTAACATTTAGTGTAATACTGGCTGCAGGACTGGAATTCAGTGATTCATCACTTACATATAATACCCAGTGCTCAAGACTGTGCCCTCCTCAATACCCACCGCCCATTTAGCCCATTCCTTGCCCTCAGATTAACCATTTTATTATTTATCTGTTTTTTATGTTTTATTTTTGAGAGAGAGAGAGCTCACGCGAGCAGGGGAAAGGGAAAAGGAAAGGGAGAGAGGGAGAAAGGGAATCCCAGGCAGGCTCTTTGCTGCCAGCTCAGAACCCAGTGTGGGCTGGAACCCACCAACCTTGAAACCATGACCTGAGCCAAGAGTTGGAGGCCGAACCGACTGAGCCACTCAGGCATCCCCCAAATTAACCATTTGAAAATGAACAGTTGCGCTCGCTTCAGCAGCACATATACTAAAGTGAACATTTCGGGGGCATTGAGAACAATCACAAAGTTGGGCAACCATCACCTCCATCTGGTTCCAAACGTTTTGATCCCCGCAAAAGAAAACCCCGTCGGAATTAAGCAGCCATTGTTCACACGTGCTTCTCTGTGTCTCCCCTCTGCCACCCTTCAGGCCCTGCGACATGGGCAAGAACTCAGCAGAACCTTCCCCTCAGGAGGACCCGCAGCTGACCAAGCCTGAGATGTTTGAGAACCCGCTTTATGGGTCTGTGAGTTCTTTCCCTAAGCTGCTTCCCAGGAAAGAGCAGGAATCGCCCAAAATGCTGAGGAAGGAGCCGCCGCCCTGCCCGGACCCGGGAATCTTGTCGCCCAGCATCCTGCTCCCCAAAGCCCAGGAGGCGGAGGGCACCAAGGGGACAGGCAAGCCGGCGCCCGCGCCCGCGCCCTTCCTCAGCCCCACGCCCCGGCTCCGCTCCTTCACCTGCTCGTCCTCCGCGGAGAGCCGGCCCGCGGGCGGGGACAAGAGCCAGGGCAAGGCCAAGGCCCCCGCCAGCTCCCAAGCCCCGGTGCCGGCCAAGAGGCCCATCAAGCCTTCCAGGTCCGAACTGAGCCAGCAGACCCCACCCGCGCCGGCGCAGCGGCCGCCCCTCCCGGTCAAGAGCCCCGCCGTCCTGCACCTGCAGCACTCCAAGGGCCGCGACTACCGCGAGAACGCCGAGCTGCCCCACCACGGCAAGCACCGGCCCGAGGACGCGCCGCTCGGCCGGGCGGCCATGCAGGTGCGCGGTGAGGGTGCGTGTACGCATGCGCGCGAGACTGCCGCCGTGCCTGGAGTCGTGCCCAGGGAGGGAGTGGGGGTGTGGGTGTGTCCCCGGCCCCTCTGTGCCTGCGGGCATGCCCAGGGGTGCCTGTGCATGCCTGTGATAAGACAGCAGGCCCCTGTTCAAATCTCAGAATTTGAACCCAGACCTCCAGTCCCTGCTCCAACACTAAAAGGGCTAAATAAGGCGCTGGGGACAAACTCTCTGAGCCCTCCTGTGTCTGGCCTTCAGGAACTCAGGCTCCACAAACACAAAGACCCCGGATCGTTTACATTTCACTGTCACCATCATTAGTGTTAGTACTTAAATGTTTCCCAGTATTTTGGAGACTTCAGATGTGCTGTCCCCTTCCTTCCTATAAAATAGATTTTTTTTTTTTTTTTTTTTTAGCAAAACTAATAGTGGTTAAGAACTACCTCAGGAGCCAGACTGTCTTGGGTTTGGATCCCAGCTCTCCCACTTTCTGGCTCTGTGCCCTGAGCCTCAGTTTACTCATCTGTAAAAGGGGGCTATTAATGGAATCTGCCTCATAGGTTTATAGGGAGGGTTGCATTTTATTATATGTTATTACTATGTTATAATTTACATATTAACTATATATTATACATTACATATTATTTCTTCCGTATACTATAATGATCACATATGCATATAACATATGTGCGTATATATTAGAAATCAATTACATAAAACAGTGTGTTGGCTCTTTCTAGCACCATGTTAAAGGAAGCCTGATCTAGCCCACCTTGTGTAAGGACGTGGGCACCTTCAGTTAGATCTGGCCTGGTGGAGATTTTGGCACTGAGAGTCTTCTGTTCTTGTCCCACAGTAAAGCCCCCGGTGAACTGCCAGCGAGACAGGAGCCCAGAGGAACAGCGTGAAGCCACTTGGACCCTCTCTCAGGACCCCCTGTTGACTCCTCCTACCTAGCTTCCTGTGCAAGGCTTACTATTTTTCAGGAGAGGGCCTAGCTTCTGTGTGGTCACAGAATGCTCTGGCTGTGAAACTTGGCACCAAATGCTAAGGTTGGAAGGGAAAGTGTACTTGGGCCCCCAGCTTGATCTTGGTACTTGGGACCCATGAGCCTTGTTCCGGTCATCATTTGGAAGAAAGGAACTAAAGCGCTGATTTGCAGGTGGAGATATAAAATAATAATAATAATATTAATATTAATAATAATAATGGCTACATGTATGGAGCACTCACCACATGCTAGGTACCGTGCTAAGTGCTTTACAAACATGAGTTGTGTCGTCTTCAGCCAACCGAAACCACATCCCAGACCCCCAGTTCAAAACCGTGTGTTCTGAGTGGTTTGGACAAAGCATTAAAAATTAAGGCCAGTGCCTTCCTGGAGCGAGACAGGGCTTGGCCTTTAGGGAGCTGAAGAGTGAGTGGTTAATTTAGGGTACAACAAACCTGGCCTTGTCTAGCTTCAGTGATGCCCACTGCTTTCGCTAAAGCCCTGGGGGGTCCAGCAGAGCTGGCGCCGAGGGAAGGGATCTCCAGTTCTTTGGTCGGAAAGGGAAGGAAAATCAGCTCCTACTCTACAGTGGAGACATCCGGCTCCCACCTGTGCTGGAGACACCCAGGCCCTCCTCGAGGTGGGCAGCTATCACCAGGCGGTGGGCTGAGCCAATCCCCCCAGCACTTATCTCATCGTGCTAAGAGAAGAGTCTCTGCCGTCGTTCCCAAAGCCGAGCTCAGCCAGGGTGATCCTCTCTGTTCCGGCTCTTAGGACAGCGTAGCCATCTCCTCCCGAACTCCGTGGCTTTTGGCTCTGCTTCCTTGGTTACTGGGAGGGTAGGTTGGTGGCGTCTTTTCTTGTGTTGCTTTTTTGACATACGGAATTAGTGTAGGAAACCGAATCCAGGAGCGTGAGTACAGGAGAATGGGTACGCACCCCACATCCCCGTGTGTGTCAGTCTGTGTGACCAATAAATTGTGCCTTTCTCACTCAGATCCCATCTGTGTGGCATTTTTTCCTGACATTCAGCCACAGACATGCTCCTAGGCTGCTGGGGCTGCAGAGCGGCCGGCACGGGAGGAGAGGAGGTTGAGGTTCGTGGTGGTGAGGGGCACTCATTACCCTGACTAGAGGGGACTTTGTAGCACCGGGTTGAAGTTGGGCAGAGAGCAGTAGATGTTACACGGCTTTGTGGATTCCAGGCCCCGGGCAGCCGGCCA